CGTAGACAAATGCAACTAGTATTCAAGAAAATACGAGAACAACTGTCCAAAGCAACAGCCGAGTTCACTCTAGCAAGGAATGCACGAGCTAAACCCAGTAAAATAACTATTGGATCTGTAGTAATGATACTTAACCAACACAGGTCTGGTCCTATGTACAAGTTAACTAAGAAATTTTTGGGTCCATATAAGGTAATCGAGCTTATTAAAGGTAACAAATACAGACTTAAGAACTTGTTAACAGGAGAGTATATAAATGAACATTTAGACCATATGAAGTTAGCTAAAATGACTGTTGACGAGACTGATGAGGAAGATGACAATGAACTTACCCAGACAGATACTCCTACTCTGACACCACCTTCTGTGGTTGACAGACCACTGGATGTTCAGCAACCCCATACTAGCAATTATAATCTTAGATCTAGACCTCTCGTTTCAACCGTGCACTCACCACATGTCCATTGGCTAGATTTTAACGAGGATATCTCTTAAGATGATAGTTTGTCGCATGAAGTTTCATCTGTTCCGGACCTTCAGTCAGAGCCAGAGTTGTATAGTGCTCTGGATGAGCTAGGTGTAGATATCCGCAGAATTTATAATTGAATGCACTCTGCAGTTATTCTGTTTGTTTTGAAAAAAAAAAATAAATCATTTGCAGTATTTCTACCACATGTGTCTTATTATTACCATTATATATAATGTATAGTCCTTCTCAACTTTATTTTGTTATAAAGTAGATGCCATTGTTAAGTCTACTACCATTTGTATTTTTACAGTGCTTGTCATAAGAGTTATTATTGTTCTAGCAACCACATTGTGGCCAGTGAATCCTGACTGCTGTCACGAAGATGTTAGTCTTCTTGTTCCAGGTCTTGTATATAGCTTGTAAATATATGGCACATTAAATATATTGTACATTGGTCTTGTAAATATATTGTATATTTCAGAGAAAAAAAAATGAGAAAAAAAGAAAATCATTATCTATCTTGAAATTCAATTGTGGTTGTTAGGTCAGAACTTTGTTCTATTAATGTAATAATTGTTTAATTTTGTATGGTTTTCAAGCACACGCCATTGACACATGTTAATAATTTCGTTTAGGCAATACCTTGAGTTGTATTGTTCATATCTGATCAGTAGACATACACATGTTCTTAATACTCTGGTTTAATCAAAGCATTGTTACCACGATTTTCACCTATTATGATGATTTTTTTTTGTTGGTGCATATATGCCGAGTTGTTAGTATTACGCACACCTGATCTTCTTTCAATGTTTTATTATGCAAATTTCACATGTAAGCCATTATTGAATGCCACCGAGGTCCTTTCAGTATCATTGTAACTATATAGCTAGCCAGAGCTTGTCGACAAGGGACGTCGACTTGATAGCATGTCCGAGCGGTGTTATACTCAAATTCTGTTAGTTGAAATGTAACCAATCACAGGCTAGTAGGTCTCTGACGTCATGCCAGACAGAGGAGCATCAAGCCATGCTCCCAGCAGCCTCAGTTCTCCACACAGACTCAGAGTAGAAGGACCTCGGCTAGGCAGATATATACCTTGCTGTCTCGGTCAATAAATATATACAGAAGCGACTACTGTGTCTACCTTCTACCTGAACAAGGCAAACGAATAAGGTAAAAAATCTTTAAGTGCTTATGATAATGTACCGATTAAGGTCTATGGCAAGGTGTCGGCAAAAGTAGGTTATAATGGAAAAGAAATTGTCCAGGATTTTTATGTAGTGGATTCACATAATCCTAGCCTGTGTGGTAAGGATCTCATGGAAAAAGTGGGAATTGTCTTGGCGGGCCTAGATGAATTGTCGATAGTTAAAACAATTAAGAGTGCCGAAGAAATGTTAGACAAATATTCAGTGGAGGCAGATAAGCCAATTAATAGCATGGTGGCAAAAATTCACCTGAAAAGTGGGGCTTCACCTAAATTTTTCAAGGCAAGAACAGTGCCGTTTCATTACAAGCAATTGGTAGAATCAGCCCTGGAAAAGCATGTGGCAGAAGGCATCTTAGAGCCAATTACACATAGTGAGTGGGCAGCCCCAATTGTACCAGTGTTGAAGGCAGATCGGAAATCCTTGAGAATCTGTGCAGACTTCAAGGAACTGAACAACCGCATACACTGTGAGAAGTTCCCTTTACCTAAGATAGATGAGTTGTTGTCAGTGGTCTGCAAGGGAACAATTTTTTCTAAGATTGACCTGAAAGATGCCTACTTGCAGATTCCTGTAGAGGAGGAGAGCCAGAAATTGTTAGTGATTAATACCCACAAGGGGTTATTTAAGTATAAAAGACTTCCTTTTGGACTCTCCTCGTCTCCAGCAATTTTTCAGAGATTCATGTCCCAGTTGTTAGTTAACATTGAAGGTGTGGCTAGTTTTTTAGATGACATTATTGTATGTGGGGAGAATGAGGAAGTGCATGATGCTAGATTAGAACAAGTTTTGAATCTTTTGCAAAAGCACAATGTGAAGATTAATAAGGGAAAAACAACGTTGAAGACCAAGGCCATTGAATATCCGGGGTACCATATTTCAGGTAAGGGCTTTACTCCTTCTCACAAAAATGTAGCTGCTATAATAGATGCCCCAGCCCCAACATCAGTTGGGGAAGTACAGTCTTTTGTTGGGATGGTTACATATTTTTGTAAGTTCGTGAAGAACTTTTCAACAAAATTAGCACCCTTGTATGAATTGTTGAAAAAAGGGGCTAGATTTAAGTGGGCAGCAAGAGAGGAAAATGCATTCAGGAATATTAAGCAGGAATTGATCAATTCTCCAGTGCTCACTAATTTTACAGGTAGACTCCCGTTAAAACTGGAGGTAGATGCTTCCCCAGTAGGAGTGGGGTGTGTATTATTACAGAAAGTAGATGGTCAGGATAAAGTAGTATATTTTGCTAGCAAGAAATTATCTCCTGCAGAACAGAATTATTCTCAGTTAGATAAAGAAGCCTTAGCTTTGGTATATGCTGTAAAAAAAACTGAGGTATTTTCTGCTGGGCAGGAAATTTTTTGCTAGAACAGATCATAAACCCCTGCTAGGATTGTTTGGCAGAGGTAAGCAGATTCCAGTTAATGCCAATGCTAGAACTCAAAGATTGGCATTACTACTCTCTCAGTTTGAGTATGATTTAGAGTTTAAGCCAGGCAAGGATAATGTAGTAGCTGATGCATTAAGTAGATTGCCTGTGACAGAAGAATTAAATTCCAGTATTCCAGTGGAGTATGTTAACCTGGTGGAATCTATGTCTTTTGAGGATATTTCATTCCAGACTATTAGGAAGGCAACTGGTAGAGATCCTAAATTAAGTCTGTTGTTGAAAAATGTCAAATATGGTTGGAATGATAATTTGTTATTGTCAGAGTATGCTGCAGTGAAGGCTGACCTTAGTATTCACCAGGATGTACTCTTGTATAGGAATAGAGTGGTGGTGCCTGGGGAACTGAGATGTAAGATTTTGGAACAGCTGCATGTAGGCCATAATGGCATAAATGCTATGAAAGCAGAAGCTAGAAGTTGGGTTTGGTGGCCAAAAATAGACCAGGATATTGCTGAGGTAACAAAAAATTGTCATATTTGCTTTACGAATTATCAGAAACCCCAGGCCCCAGTACTTTCTTGGCCATGCACTGGAAAACCCTGGTCTAGACTTCATGTAGATTATGCGGGACCTATGGATAATAAATATTACCTAGTGGTGGTAACACCTGCCCCCTATAATCCTTCTTCAAATGGTCTAGCAGAGAGAGCAGTGAGATCCTTGAAAGAAGGGTTAAAGCGGTTTACGGAAGGTACTATTAATACAAGGCTTTGTAGATTTTTATATAATCAAAGGAAAACTGTTCATTCTACTACTGGTAAATCTCCTTCTGAATTACTGTTTAATAGACACTTTAAAGTGCACATGGAAGCAGTAAAGACAGATCCCAATAAAGAGAAATCGATAACTAGCTTGGCCAGTCAGTTGGCTCAGGGAGAGGAATTGTTGTTTAATGAAGGGGATGCAGTATATGCAAGGAATTTTGGAAGTGGAAAGCCCTGGGTGGAAGGGAAAATTAGGGAGGTCCTGGGCCGCAGGAATTTCACTGTGCAAGTGCAGAGTTTTGGGAACATTAATTGGAAAAGGCATGCCGATCAGCTCATGCCAAGGTTCACAGGGAATTTTGAAGACCCTTCAAGTGGTGGGGGGCAACTAGTGATATCCATCCTTATAATGAAGGGATAGCAGCACCTGCAGGAGACCAGAAGGCAGAGCAAGGGGCAGTAGAGGGTAATGGGGATACAGTTAACCCTATGGACTTTACAAGGAGTAATTCAGAAGAATGTTTCCCAGAAGTATCAGGTCAGGACTTCCAGTTGAGAAAATCAGGAAGAGTCATACGACCGCCTGATAGACTTAACCTGTCGGGATATAGTTTATTTAAAAGGGGAGGAATGTTGGGATTGAGTACTACAGATGTTGGAGGTAGCATGTTTGGAGCAGATGCTCTTTTGTTTATGAACTTGTTAATAATATTTCATGTACCTGATAATGTTTTTGTTGTTGTTACTGGCGGAGAATAAAAACCATGTGGACGAAGATTGTTTGTCTGACCAAAACCATAACAGTTAGGTTAGAATAAAACTAGGCTTCCTGGAATCATGACATCTGATAGCTAAGACAATGGGCCAAGGAGTGGCATTTCACTTCACATCATAAAAATAGGTAACACACACATGAATATGCACACCCACAAATGCATAAATACACTCATTGATTCAAACACTTAAAATGGTTGATCTTTAAATACCTTCCCCAAAAATGGTATGTAAAACAATATGCCCCTGTAAGGTTCAATAATGGTATGGAAAAACACTCCCAATAGGTAGTTATTGAATCTGTGTCAATTCCTTTATCACTCAGTATTGCATCAACAAGTACATCGTGACCAATTTCATTAACAGCATCTCACTCATCGTGTATATTTTCCATGCAGGCTGTGGAGTCCGGGATATTCCGTGAGGTAGCGGAGGCAGAGACCAAGAGCCGCGTCAAGTACAAGTTGCTGTCGGAGTTCCCTCAGGCCATCAACACCCTGGTGAGGCGCGGCGACCACGTCCTCATTGACCTGGAGATCGTCATAACTATGATCATCGGGCAGTACTTCACCCACACAGGTGAGCTGACGATGGGTGCTCACTCACACAGGTGTTCTGACGATGGGTGCTCACTCACACAGGTGATCTGACGATGGGTGCTCACCCACACAGGTGATCTGACAATGGGTGCTCACTCACACAGGTGAGCTGACGATGGGTGCTCACTCACACAGGTGATCTGACGTTGGGTGCTCACTCACACAGGTGAGCTGACGATGGGTGCTCACTCACACAGGTGATCTGACGTTGGGTGCTCACTCACACAGGTGATCTGACGTTGGGTACTCACTCACACAGGGGATCTGACGATGGGTACTCACTCACACAGGGGATCTGACGTTGGGTACTCACTCACACAGGGGATCTGACGATGGGTACTCACTCACACAGGGGATCTGACGATGGGTGCTCACTTACACAACAGGGTACCTTAAGCCTAGTATGGTCGGGTTGGCTAGAAAACCCCTTTTGGATCCTGGTTTGTGTCCTCCAGAACCTCCAGCATATACTATTTACTATAGTATAGTATACTATAGAATTTGATACTATTCACTTGATAGAGTCCCCCCAAAAATAAGAAAAACCAAGTTAAATATTCCAAGGTCTAGTTTAGCACACATATGTACTATATTAGGTATCAAGAGCGGGCAATAGGGCTAGGAAGGTTAAGTTAGGTTAGTTTAAGTTGTCTTTTCAACATAAATACAAAACTTTATACATCTATCAAACATATATATATATATATATATATATTGGTAGCAGTCTTTCTTGAAGACATATGTTGTTAAATATGACCGAAAGGATAAGATTAATGATTCTAACACGAATCTTCTCAATATTTCTTATGTTTTACTGCACTGTCGAGGGAAGATGAAAAATTTACTCTCCAAGGTTCAATTTCTCACTATATTATGGTCTGACGCCTAGGGATGCATTTTTCAAGGCACTCCTTACATTTTCAAAGACAAAGACAGAGGCAGACAAGGACATGGTTATTGATTTTGACCAACAGCATATGATCAAGGATTCTAGCACGAATCTTCTCTATATTTGTCATGTCCTTCATCTATGAGGAAAGTTGGAAAAATATCTGTCAAAGTAGGTTTTACAGTTTAATATGAAGCTGAAAGATACGTTTCATTGAAGCTCTTTTAATCAATTATGACACAGATAGAAGGGCCTGGAGTAAATTATACACTCCAAGATGGATGAAGTGAATTGAAGAATTCCATAGTGATGTTGGCTGGAGTGGCATTAGGTGTGTGGCACCTTGCGGTTACCTTGTGATGACTTCGGAGCTCAACGTCCCCGCGGTCCGGTCCCCGCCCAGCCTTCTTGTTGCTGACTTAGTCAACCAGGCTGTTGGGCGCTAGCTGCTCGCAGCCTGGCATATGAATCACAGCTTGGTTGAACAGGTATCCTTTGGACAGGTTTATCAAGTTCTCTCTTGAACACTCCGAGGGGGTCGGTCAGTTATAGCACATATGTGTAGTGGAAGTGTATTTAATAGTCTCGAGCCTCTGATGTTGATTATTACTTGATATCTTATAAATTGATTATTACTGATCATTGAGTGGATTCTAGCAGTAAAGGATCTCTGCACACTCTCCAGGTCAGCAATTGCTCCAGCTTTGAAAGGGACTGTCATTGTGCAGCAGTACTCCACTCTAGAGAGCACAAGCGTTTTGAAAAGTATCATCATCGGTATAGCTTCTCTTGTTTGAAAGGTTCTTGTTATCCAACCTGTCGTTTTTTTGCAGTAGTGAAGGCTTCTATATTGTGTTCTTTAAATGTAATGTCTTCCAACGTGAGTACACCCAAATTCTTTACATTGCTTTTATGTTGTACAGTATGATTTGACTGCGTTTCCTAAGTGGTTTTCGCTTAAATACTTTCATTTCTTCTATAGCGCAGGAGCTGGAACTTATCTTCATTAAATACCATATTTTTTGGGTGGCCCATTGAAAGGCCTGATTTGCATCTGATTGGGGGTTTGCAATATCCTTTATGTTGTCTACTCTCATAAAAATACTAGAGTCATCTGCAAATGATAATACAGAGCTATAGTTTCTGTCCTTGTCTATGTTTGATATGAGTGAGAAAAAACACTGGAGCAAGCACAGTACCCAGAGGAACTAAGTTTTTCACGGTTGATGGTCCCGATTTTATTTTGTTGACTATTTCTCATTGGGTTCTGTTAGTCAGGAAATTGTAAATTCATCTGCCTATGTTTCCGATAGTTCCTTCTGAACGCATTTTGTGTGCAATAACACCATGGTCACATTTGACGAAGACTTTTGTGAAAACTGTGTAATAACATCAGCATTTCGTTTGTCTTCCATGTCATTTAAGGCCATATCATAGTTGTCCAGGAACCGAAATAGGTAAGAGCGCCCTTTTCTAAAACCATGTTGTCCGGGGTTATGGAGATGCTGGGATTCCATGTATTTTGTGATCCTACTTCGTAGCTCTCTTTCAAAGACTTATGATATGTGGTGTTAATGCTATCGGTCTGTAATTTTTTAATTCTGTCTTATTCCCTCCTTTATTGAGTGGTGTTATCTTTGCTGTTTTCAGTGTATCAGGGATAGTTCCAGTATCCAGGCTCTATCTCCAAACAAGGCGAATTGCATGTGATAGTTGTTTTTTACTGTTTGAAGAATATAGAGTTCCAAGAATCAAGGCCTGGTGCAGAGTGCAAAGGCACACTGTCTTTAGTTTGTTCAAAATCCTTTAAGGATAGGGTGACATCTGATATATGATTTGAAGTTGGTATCACATCCATGAAGAATTCATTTAGATTATCAATATCATCAGTGTGTTCAGTGGCTCACTGAAAACAGTCTTACTGATTCCTCAGTATTTCGCTCATTTCTTTGTTGTCATCTGTGAAAGTTTCATCTTTCTTTCGCAGGGGCCTGATACTGGATGTAGTTTTTGCTCTGGAATTTGCATAGGAGAGAAAATATTTAGTTGTCTCGATATTTCACTGGTGGCCTTTTGCTCTCTTTGTCTTCCCTCTGTAGGAGGAAGTTGTTACTGGTCTAGACTCCAGAGGCTGATATGCTGTTACTCACAGAAAACTGGCTGTTCATAGTTGGATGATATATATTTACGAAAGCTAAAACAGCTTTTCGTACTAAAGAGTACCTCTGTTGTGTTTTCAAGGCTTGCTCTAACACCGTACACAGTCATATATTGCGCCTCTGTCTAAATAAATGAACACTAACACCACCCATCCCTCTCTCTGACGAACTCCACTGAGTTGTTATCAGATATGTTCACTAAAACATTAGTCTGTTCATTTACTGATTTACCACTCACATAATGTTACGCTGGTGAACTGGTGCATTGAAGTGGCATGAAATATATTGAACCTGACTAATGTACACATTATAATAGGTGCCAGATCACAGTAATCATGTTAGGACACAGTGGGAAGTAACACCTCAACCCCCAACAGGACGGTGCGACTTCTACTCCTCGAGGGAGAGGTTCCTGCCCATGGTGTTGTCTATGATCGGCCAGCGAGACAGTCCCCTCGTTCCTGCCCTTAGCAAGAGGTGGGTACTGAAGACTACTTACATTAACTACAAGACTTATCAGAGACAGTCATGATAACGTCACTCAGGAGCTGTTACTTAACCAATTGGTAGGTCGTGTTCTGGGGGAGCTGATTATCCTCAAGACGAACTATGGAAATGAGGAGCATAAAGCATGCTAGACACTCAGAATTCATACCTACATGTGAAAACATAGCAATCGTTACGATAACAAAGTATACCCATGATAAGTATATCAACAATCATACAATGATGAATATAACACAATACACTTTCAAAGACATACTATCAACACAAGTTTTCAAAATACATGATAGATCAGGCAGGGCATTACTAACACAAGGTAACTAGCCAAAGGGGCATCATTAACCCTGGTGCCACAGGAGTGTAATTCACTTCTCACCAGCAGACAAGGGAAACCATCTGAACCATTGTCTAGTTTACACCAGCCACAAGGACATTGTGATGTGAACCGTGTTTCCCGGTGTGGGAGTGTACTTTAGTCCTGACATGTTCGTGGACAAGGGTAACATGTTCATCTCTCGTGTAACCTGGTTACTGTCTCCTCACATGTTCGTGGACAAGGGTAACATGTTCATCTCTCGTGTAACCTGGTTACTGTCTCCTCACATGTTCAAGGATAAGGGTAACATGTTCATCTCTCGTGTAACCTGGTTACTGTCTCCTCACATGTTCTATGACAAGGGTAACATGAATTCATCAGTAGTAAAAAAGGAGACTACGGCCAACCCTCCCATGCCTGTTGCAACATTGCAAATGTTGAAAAAGTCATGCTACTGCAATATGATACTGTTTGCAGATGTTGTATGCAATGTTGCCAGGTGTTGGAAATATCCAACAACTTTCATCCCTTTTAGTACTTCAAGAAGAACTCTTGTACTAACAATAGTAATTTACTTATATTACTAACTTGTAAATTAATCATATTAATACTTTCCTACTGCGCCAATTATTTTATCGAATATTTGTACTCTATGGCGTGGGTACGTCCAATCACTTAGCATAGGGAAAGATAACATCTACATACCAGAGAATTCAATTCTATTCTCACTACATATCAGTATTCTTGTTAAGAATTTTCGACTGACTCTACATAAACCAGGGATTACGTCATTTTGCGTTATTAGTTGAAGATCACGACTTTATAACAGTAATCTGTTATCCCAGAGTTAACATGGAGTAACGAAATTCTCCATCCAATTTCATCTATTTTTCGTCCATATGAAAACAGTTTCATGTTAGCAATTATAGGACGAGAATACCATAAATATTACCTTCCTGATAATAAACCCTAGTCTTAATATCTCACAAGGTTGAGAAATTATTAGAAAAATAACTCTCCATAACAACGCTTTGCCCTTGCACATGCGCGGACGAGACTGGAAGAAGGGAGGAGAAGTAACAATTATTATGGTACCTGTTATGTATTCACTGAACTCATCATAGCCATAAATAACCATCTCTTCAAAACTGCAGCCTTTTCTCATCAGCAGAGCTACACCACCTCCCCTCTCTCTTTCCTCACTACATAGTAGCCCTGTGGAAACACTGAATTTGTTATGATTTTCGTTAGCTATGTTTCTGTGAGTGCTATTATGTCTGGGTTTTTCTTTTAGTGCCCATTCTTCAAGTTCACTTGTTTTATTTATAATCCCATCTATGTTACTGTACATTGCCTTGAAGCTCACTTTCTTCTACTCAACATTGCCCCCTTGCACGATCATACCTGTTGCAATATTTGCAATGTTGCAATGGGCATTGAGGGAGTCGGTTGTACTCCCCTTTTACACCATTTTCATATCTCGTGTAACCTGGTTACTGACCTGACATGTTCAAGAAGTGTTATGGCCTGTTTGAACGAGTAACAGGGTTCTTTTTACGTAATGTGCCTTAGATCCTCTTCTATGAGCCCATCCCCAAGTCAGTGGTAAGTTCTCAAGAACTGGTGGTAGCAAGTAATAGTGCAAGGAATAAAGGGGAGGGGGGTAATCAAGATGTAGTAACACCTTCAATATATTATCTATCGAAGTGTAACTACACTTGTGTACACAGTTTCGTTTTCACCCAGGACACTCAATATATCTGCAGTGGTCTTCAAATACCGGCGAGTCCATTCTGAAGAATACGTCGTCCACGCTCAATGGTACTCACCAGCGAGTTTACCGTCCAAAACATGGGGCAGTCCATACACTGTATCGTCACGATGTCCCAATACCCCACATCTGCTCTCCAGCAACAATGGCAGAGAGCTTCAGCAACACATTAACAGAGGTGATATATTATCATTTCCAGGGGTCTTTAACACCCTGTAGGGGCCTGACAGCTGAGTGGACAGCGCTTCGGATTCGTAGTCCTGAGGTTTCAGGTTCGATCTCCGGTGGAGGCGGAAACAAATGGGCAGAGTTTCTTTCACCCTGATGTGTTTGTTTACCTAGCAGTAAATAGGTATCTGGGAGTTGGACAGCTGCTACGGGCTGCTTCCTGGGGAGGTTACCTTGAGGTTACCTTGAGGTGCTTCCGGGGCTTAGTGTCCCCGCGGCCCGGTCGTCGACCAGGCCTCCTGGTTGCTGGACTGATCAACCAGGCTGTTGGACGCGGCTGCTCGCAGCCTGACGTATGAGTCACAGCCTGGTTGATCAGCTATCCTTTGGAGGTGCTTATCCAGTTCTCTCTTGAACACTGTGAGGGGTCGGCCAGTTATACCCCTTATGTGTAGTGAAAGCGTGTTGAACAGTCTCGGGCCTCTGATGTTGATAGAGTTCTCTCTCAGAGTACCTGTTGCACCTCTGCTTTTCAACGTGGGTATTCTGCACATCCTGCCATGCCTCCTGGTCTCATGTGATGTTATTTCTGTGTGCAGGTTTGGGACCAGCCCCTCAATTATTTTCCATGTGTAAATTATTATGTATCTCTCCCGCCTGCGCTCAAGGGAGTACAGATTTAGGCTCTTTAGCCGGTCCCAGTAATTTAGACGTTTTACTGAGTGGATTCTAGCAGTAAAGGATCTCTGCACGCTCTCCAGGTCAGCAATTTCTCCAGATGTGTAACAAAAAGGAAGCCTGGTCGAGGAATGGGCCGCGGGGACGCTAAGCCCCTAAATCATCTCAAGATAACCTCAATAAAACCTGGCATAAATCCCTAGCAACACACTAGCAGCACTTCCCAGCAGACGGCCACTACTGTCGTCTTGTAACTCCTCTTGGCCAAATCCCAGGACTGTACGATGTATATACAGATGAAAGAGTACAACACTTCCTTCCACTCTGGCAGATAGTACCTTTTGACATCCTGACCCCTGCATACCCCACCAAGAAACTAATCACAAACAACCCTCATGCTCAGATTGCTGCTAAATTAAGCACCATAGAACACATTCACAATATACAAGCTAAAACAATATAACACAGATCATATACACTGACTGATCACTATATATCACTATGTATTAACACGATGTACTGAACAGGGTGAGAATAGCTTGAGCTACCTCATACCTTTGTGCGTATTTTACCTCAATAAACTTATTTCAATTTCAATTTCAATACAGGCAGCACCAGGGACCACCAACCAGCTCAAGTATGCAGGCAGCCACCATACATGCTGCACCAGGGACCACCAACCAGCTCAGATATGCAGGCAGCCATCATACAGGCAGCATCAGGGATCACCAACAGTAGTAGGGAGTGTAGTCTAAACATGATTTTTTAAAATTCGCATTTGGACTGCAGGGGGTTCCAGGTCAAATATCCCGTTTAAACTGTCGGGTTTCCCAATAAATTTCCCAGTTTTCCGATTTGGAGTTGAAAGTTTCTTATGGTAGAAATTGAAAATATTTCCAGAATTCACAGAAGTTTGTTAAGAAAATCTTAAAAAACAGTCAGGGACAAAGTCTGCTCCCTTTTTACTGAGAATAAACTCTACGGCCATATATGTTTTTTTTAGAAAATCACTCATTTGGAGTTAAAGAGTTCTTATGGTGGAAATTCAGACCAATAATCACTCATACGTTCTTAAAAGAGTTCTTATGGGAGAAATTAAAAAAATCTGAGTACAGTTTTTTTAAATATTTCAGAGGTCACATTATCATAGAAGTGTATTTACAAGTTTATGACCGAAATTAAAAAAAAAAATCAGAGAATATTGTCTTAGATGTTTCGTTATGGAAAACAGACATCTTAGCCAGACTACAATCTCTCTCTCACTCCTTTAAATGTCTCCACATGTTCTCCACCTAACTCGCTACCTTTTCTTGCAATTTTCCTCCATCTATCCCTCCGCTACATGATCTTACCCATTCATTACATTCCCTTACACGTTCTCCGTTCATCTTTTTTACTAATTCTTAAACCAATTATTTCTGTCATTTAGTAAGTAGTCCATCCTTATATATTTATTAACAACAGTAACATTACTAATTCTCAACGACTTACTACAACGTATTTATTTAGTAGTTATTCTTCATCTGTATTTTCAAAACTACGTCAATATAATTCATTCTAAAACATCTTCGTGCAATTAAAGATACATACACTAAGTCATTACTTACAGCATCTTAAGGCACTTTTTTCATAACTCAACCTAATTAAAAAAAATACATCTTCAGTAGTCAAAGGTAACTTTTCAAGTCATATTTAAATCAATATTTCCCTTAAATTTACTAAGCGTTTTCATTATTTAGTGGCAATCTACTTTTTTTAAGTAATCATACTTTTTTATTGCCCCCAAAGTAATAAGCAACTTATTCTATTAAAGGATAAAGAAATCTTATTTAGAAAAGACATCAAGTTTATTCAAATATTAAACATATACAGTTATTCATAATACTTATACAATTATTCAAGAACTCGTAAACATATTCCTATACAGTCTTATATTGAAATAAACATTTTAAGCTATTCAACAAGCAATATGATTTATTAAATATGAAATATTTCCTCTACAAATTGGACAGCTTTTCAGAGATAAAAGACATCCGGCTGCATGTCACCATATGTTTACATGGCAGTATTACAATATTTATATTTTTATCCATACAAACTCTGCATAAACTATCCTCTTCCCAAGATAGCTCTTTACAATCCTCGTTTTCAGCAGTGTTAGTACAACTCTCAGGTGAAGTTTGTTATCCCAGATCTTCAGGTGTAACTTCTTCATCCTCTTTATTACCCACAGCTTCATTAATTATTTCCCATACCTGTAAACTAATATCTGTACCCCTCTTGCATATACCTCAAATCTATTTCTAGACTTTGTATAATAAAGGTAATAAATCCCTTGATCCCTTAAGGTATTGCCGTAAAGCATGTCTTACATTTTCCACAAGTATTAATTTTTTATGAATCAGATTTTTAAACTTATCAATACCCTCCATTAGGATATTAATTAAAGCATCGTCTATAGGTTTTATAGGTAATGGTAATGCCAATCCAGCATTCTTAACAAATTCCTCGCCTCTTGTAAGAATAACGTAGGCACATTCAGGATTACATCTCACATGTAATGTGCAAGGATTATCCTCCGGTCACCAGTTTCGTAGTCCACAGCCGCAAAAAAGGCAGCAGACGTGATCACTTATTCCTGAAAAACCCATGTCACTATTAATCCAGCATCATCTCATTATTATCTTCTGAACTAATATTCATTATTCCTTTACTTACATCTCTATTAATTTTAAAATAATTAAAACACTTCATACCACAATAAAAAAATGGCTTCAGCCAGCTCGTGAGAAGTTTGTTTGACGCTTCCAGGACATGTCATATCAAATGACTCTTGGCGACATTTATAAGTTACCATTCCCGGACTTAGCGAATTCCTAAATTTTATCAATCTGAGATCTTTCTTGCCAGGTGCACCAGCTAAAATATAATGTAGTTCATGTAAATATTCTTTAGAAGAATAACCTACTAAAGCAAGTTTGTGCAGTGTATATGAGGCCATCATAAGAATATATACTTATTACTATCACTGAGTCCCTTCTTTTCCATTTCAATTTTAGGGGAAACAAATTCCCATCCATATTGGAACGCTATCTCCGACATCTCTAAAGAAACATTATCACTCCTCTTGCCTCTAATAAAGGTGCAGTCTTGATTAATCATCTAATGACGTCTGCATGGGGTATCACCAACAATCCAAGCACCTACTATACAATTACAAAATGGATACAAACAATAATCAGTAGTATGGAGATAATAGAATCCATCTTCAACTAAGTCTATAGCGTTTAACCACTTAACAGACCAGTCCACAAATGTTTGAAGTCTAACTCCTGAATATTTAAGGCTCTCTATACTATAAAACTTCTTTGTACACAAAGGATCCATCACATAAGGACAGCACTAACCAATGGAGTAAGAAAAGCAAGTATATATATCCCCTAAAAAAAGTATCGTACATCAACAAATGTGTAACAGTTCCCCGTTTGTAATTGACAGCTATAGCTTCTGAGTACTTCTCAAATGAAAAATCTATAAAGTTTCATAATTAAATAAAGCTCTTTTAAATAAAGAAAGTTTAAACACTTAATAAACTTCCTTTATCATTTCTTAACAAAATTAGAAAAAAATTACATCACTTTTGGCAGTCTCACTGAAAGTATTTGTAAACAATTATGTCATTATTCATAGCTGCCATACATAAATGATAGATATATATATAATTTAGTAAAAAACTATTTAATCAAATTTTTAAATATACTTAAAGAATCTACATCTTAACTGAAATATGCTGTTAGTTATAATGCCATATATAATACATTCAAGGGTATCAAAAAATCTTTATTAATAATATCAAATAAGGTGGCAACTTTCACATTTTCCAGTATAAGAGTGCGGACCTCACATTAGAGCTATTATTACGACTAACTGGACCATATCTACTACCTTACAAGGAAGAAAAATCACCATGGAAACTGTTCTGAAAACTTGTCAGGGTTATTTAACCGACGAATCTTTTTGTGATAATGAAATCTGCATTGTGTACAGAGTGAACTGTATATCCTGTGTTCCCCGAGGAATGGCCCTAGACTTAGCCAAGAAATATCCTCACTCCAACGCTTATAATGTTCGCCGACCCTTGTACAGTCTTAAGAGATGTATCCCTAAGATCGTCCAGTACCAGGAACAATTCATATCTCTAAAGGAGAAAATCTTCCATATATTGTTGCTATAGCCACTCAATATGGTATTGGATTACCTATAGAAAGTAATAACATTGCTCAGGGAATTATAGAAAAATCAAAAGACAGAAACATGCTCGTTGGAATTAAAGAAGATACATCCATTAATCGGCTTGTCTACTTCAATAATGGTATGAAAGATTTATTTAACTTTAACAAGGACTCTCCTCAAATTATGAGAGTTATAATACCAACAGGAATTGAGCGTACCTGTGTTCAAAGAGATGAAGTTCGGGAAAACACTTATCTTCCTGTTATTCAAGATATGTATAAACATTTAAAACCCTATGGAGTGGAAATTAAATTACTGTTTAACGAGGAAATTATGCAGAAGAAGAGCAAATAACACTCTGCAACCCTATGTGTGCGCAGTATTCCCTTGCGCATCCTAAAAGATGTATATATATGCTGCCCCGGAGTTGTCCTCTGACGGCTTCCTCCTCTTCTTGGATAACATAATCTTCTTCAAGCTCTGACAATCGACACTATGGAGATCAAGACTATTGTTGGAGACTTTGCCTCTTTACCTGTCTACAATAATCAAGACTGTTTATTGTATGATCTTGATGTGACAAATGTACAAATGTGTAAAATAGTGCATGGATTGTCGGATCATTACCCTTATGCATGTTTACATCGTAAAAACTTTCCTTACAAAAATCGTGCTGTTGTATCTTATCGCAGTAACCCCGGCAGTATACATATTGGAGAACCGCCTGAATTCAACAGCAGGATGGATAAAGATCCCCATTTACCCCTTATTATTGGATTAGTGACTCAGTTTGCTAGTAGACCAACAACTTTACCAACATACGAAAATCCTCCATGAGAAGTACGAAGATTTGATAAACATTTTTACGAGGGACTAGAAAAAGACAGAATATCAGATATGGCGCTGGTTTGAAAAAGCTCTGAAGGAGGCCCTTGTTTACATTCTTAAAAGACGTGTTAAGAGAAATATTATTCCATATGGTTTTGGCTTGTCAAGTTATTTGGACAACTGCACAGTATGGGAAAGTAAATATTTGCTTATACTTGAGAAAATAGGACAAAAACTACGAAAACGATGAATTTTACTCTAATAATATGTCCAAAAATCTTTGCTTCTCCTCAGTCTTCGACCCACGGAATCTTTGAAAATATGATCATATACATTGTTGTTCTTCAAAATGGGTCCACAACTAATGCTGCTACGACTCCTGCTGATGATGCTACGCCTGCTACCACTGATGCTACATCACCTTTTATCAACACTAAGTCAGCTGATGCAGATAAGTCAACACCTGTTAATGTTACTATGCCTTTTAATACTAATCTTGTAATGCTTGTTTGTAGTTTTACAAATTTAGAAGAGTAAATGGATGGGGAATAATAATAAAGTCTGTAGAATAGCTTATACATGTTGTACAATTTTACAAATTAAATAACAAAATATAAACTTGTGTTTATTTTCTCCCTCTTTAAATGTCTAAATATCAACTCTACATTTCTGGGTATATAGGATGAGGTATGAAACTTTTTTGCCTACTTCATGATGGATTGTTCTAAGTACATGCTAACAAAGCTTAAGCATTTAAATAAGTGTATTATAGATGAACACTTTAATAGTGATGAAATTCTAAAACCTGGATACTGTCTTGTCTACGATCCTCATAATTTATCTGGTGGATTTGCACAACTGTTATGGGAAAAATATCCCTACAGTAAAGTTTCTCAGTGTAAGGTGGTATAATAATAATATAACACCAGGTGGTATAATACTTGGTTTATCTCCAGAACCAGAAATAATGCCTCATATTATAGGACTTCAGTACAGTAACTCTAATGAAGATTCAGGAATATGAAAAGATATTATTAAAGGTTGGAGTTTTAAATCGGCAATAAGAAAAATTTGTCGTCAAGCTAGAAATAATAATTTAATCCAGTGTATAATTATCCCATATGGTATTGAGTTTAATGACAGAATAGGATGGAGTAAAAAAAAAAGAAAAAGAATAGGAGACACACTATTTTCCGGGACTAGCCCATTTAGCTTATGTTTTGAATAAAAATAAAAAAGAATTATTAATGGTTCGTATACCTCCTGGAGAAGATGTTACTGGGTCTGGGCGAGAGAAGAAACAAGTAAACGGCAGATCTAATAAAAGGAAGAGAACGTCGCAGTTAAACTAGTAGATCTAAAAATAATACATATAGTTAATTTGGTAACTGTACCACTAAGAGGGGGGCGGAGCGTAACTATCTCTGAGGTGATAGTATTTATCCCATACTGATAAATGAACACATAATAAATAGTCTTATTTAGTTTGAAAGATAGTATTACAAATGTACTGAAGAAGCACGAGAATTATCATGTGTAGTTGCTGACAAAATTCCTAGTAAGGCTGAGATAAGGAAAATTTCTTCATTATCTAAAGCCAATAAAATAATTTGTACTTTTAGACCTAGACCAACTTTTAAATACATATTTCCAGAATTTGAAGAAGCGCCTATAGGTTGTAACTTAAAGGATAATTTTTTTATAAGAAAATTTGTGGATGAAATTGGATCTCCAAACGCAGCGAACTGGTTTATTAATACGCTGAATTCTGAAGAACGAGACATGTATACTATAATAAGCCAGGATGAACTAGCAACAGCAGGTAAATAGTAAGACTGAGAAAGAGCTCAGTATTATTCACCCTAAAACTGAATAAGATGAACTTTGGAGTTTAATTGGTCATATGGAGGAGAACTTTCCTTCATTTCCTTTAAATTTAATAAACATGAGACCAGAAATAGGATATCACACCCCGAAAAAGATTGAAATAGAGGCAGTGATGAGATTTATAGGACAGGATCTTGTACTCGGTGTTTTCTCTGCTGTGGCCTTTATTGAAACCTTATTAGGATAAGAAGTAATAATAACGTAAGAGCTACAGATAATTACTCAAATATGGGTGAGAGTAAGTAGATGCCTGTTGAACAAATGGATGTAGTAGAAGCAGTTAGGACTTATTGCAATGACAAACAAGTACTTCTAATGTCCTGGCCTGAATTGATTTGCGATGATGATGTTTATAGTGATGCATTCTATGTTTTAAAAGAATTTAAGGGACAAAAACTAATCTATTTCGGAGAAGGGGAGGGGGGGATACTGTGCTTGTGACTTTTTTTAACTTTCTGGCTAAAGAGTTTCATTGTGTGAAATCAAATACATGTTATACTCTTAATTATTTTCTAAATTCTAATGTTTACTTCTATATAAGACTGCAGTAAGAATATGTTTACGAGTTCTTGAATAATTGCATAAGCATTATGAATAACTGTATATGTTTAATGTTGTAATAAACTTGATGTCTTTTATAAATAAGATTTCTTTATCCTTAACAGAATAAATTGTTTATTACATTGGGGGACAATAAACAAATATGATTACTTAAAAAAAGTTAATTGCCACTGAATAATGAAAAGTCTTAATAAGTTTAAGAGAAATATTGATTAAAATATGACTTGAAAAGTTACCTTTGACTACTGAAGATGTATATCATTTTAATTAAGTTGAGTTATGAAAAGAGTGCCTTAAGATGCTGTAAGTAATGACTTAGAGTACTGGAATGTATCTTTAATTGCACGAAGATGTCTTGGAATGAATTATATAGACGTAGTTTTGAAAATAAAGATGAAGAATAGCTACTAAATAAATACTTTGTAGTAAGTCGTTGAGAATTAGTAATGTTACTGTTGTTAATAAATAAATAAGGATGACCTACTTACTAAATGACAGAAACAATTGGTTTAAGAATTAGTGAAAAAGATGAATGTGAAACCATGTGAGAGGTACAGAGCGTTATAGACGGGAAGATCAATATGACACTACTGGAAATTTTTTAGAGGAAGGCAGAAACAGAGTAGTAAATATAAGAGAGAGGAACAGTCAGATGGAACCACTACAGGATTACAGAGGGGAACGGAGATACCCACAAGACTGGAATTCAAATTATCAACAAGCACACAGGTGCTACACCAGACAACACCCGTCCTACTACCAAAACTGGACGAATCACTTCCAAAACGACACACCCTGGAAGCAAACACAGTGGCCTCCTTATCAGAGCCTCAGATATTAACACCAAGTAAGGCTTCCAGCACTTTCACTAACACGATAACATCATTTATATTTGCCAACATCCAGGGTATAAAAACACGCAAAACCAACAAAGTTCAATTTATAGATGGTCTCCTTCATGAGGCAAATGCAGTGTTTGCAGCCCTAACGGAAACCCACACAAAGGACTACCATGATGGTGAAATATGGATCTCAGAGTACAATCTTTTCAGATGTGATAGGAAACACCGGCTTCAGGGTGGGGTCAGCCTCTTCATCAAAGACACACTCATCTGTACTGAGCTGCTAAACACCTCAAATGATATGGTGGAAGTGCTGATAATCAAAATAGAGATTCTAAATGTAGTTATTGTCCTTGTATATAAGTCACCGGAGGCAAACCCTCAGCAGTTTAAAGACCAACTAATGAAAATAGAACACTGCTTGGAAAACCTCACAAATCCAGCTCCGAACATCATCCTGCTTGGGGACTTCAACCTACGGCACCTGAAATGGAAGCACCTGGCTAATACAGTAATATCAGAAAGAATACCAGGAAGTAGCCTAAATGAACAGGCACATGCAAATGACCTGCTACGGATGTGCGACAGGTTTGCCTTAAACCAGCAAATAGTAGAACCAACTAGGAAGGAGAACATGCTGGACCTCATTTTCACTAATAATGATGAATTGATCAGGAACATAATGATTACAAATACCTGTTACTCAGATCACAACTTAATTGAAGTTATGACAACCATGGGGAGTAGACCTTCAAAACCAGTCCAGATTCCCGGTGGAGGAGATTTCAGCAAATTCAACTTCAATATTAAACAGATAACCTGGGAGCGAATAAACCAGGACTTCACAGAAATAAACTGGGAAGAACAGCTAGGAAATGCAAAC